TATAAATGTAGTATGTCCTAAAATGCTTAATTTCGGAGATACAGGGTGTAGAAGTTTCATTTTTATTTCGATTTTCTCAAATAATTTCTGAATCAACGTCAATATTTTGATAAAAATTGGTTTTTAGGAGTTTTTTGACATGAGAAATTGAATTTTGATATCAATATGACTCCTACTTGCAGAGGGCGCCACCTACATATTTTTAACTGGTTTGAAGAGTACCGTAAAAGGGGGGAATAGAAACATAGTGGTGAAAAGAAACAACATTTCTAAAAAAAATCAAATCACGATTAAAAATATTCAAAGTAAAAAGAGTCGACATATCTAATTTTTCTATCATTGGTAATACACAATAAAATGTAAAAACTATATATTTATTTGTGGCAGCACTGTTTCTGTCAATCAGCTGATCAATAAATGTGAGATCTATTTATCACCTATTTTCTATGGCGCGAAAACTTTATAAATAAAATATTTATTTTTAAAGTAATACATAAGCTGGTACATGTAAGTTGTTATATTATATGTATTGTTAGTTATATAATATGAAATAATTTACTGCTTCTAATCACTTTGTTGGAAATAGAATAGATAAAAACCTTAACATCAATGTGTGTTTCTATTCTCCCGAATAGCAGGTGAATAGAAACACAAATGTTATTTTTATTTAATATTTATACGCATATTTTTCAAAAATCAAATTATATGTATACGCAAAGAACAAACAAAGACCCATGTTTTAAAATATTCGGGAAAATAATACCACATTTTTATCAACCGGTATATCGCTAATAGCCTACGAAAATGTTTCTATTCACCCCATTTTACGGTAATACCTTTTTGTCCGTACCTGTATAAAACTACCGAGTAAAAAATATACATTTAGGTCCGTATTTTTACGTCTTTACGTAGAAAAGGTCTCTTGGTAAAAAGCGCTACGAGTAATGGTTCTCGAAATATTTTGAATCAAAGTTATCAATACCTGTCATCATTGACATAAATTAAGCACGTTGACTATATAGTTATTGGAGTGAAATCATAAATTTGAAATGTTTTTCTGCCAAAAATTCAACAGAAACTTTTTTATCATCATTTCTTCGCAGAAAAATTTATGATTAATTTAAAAAAAAATGAAAAATTTCGCGAATTTATTATTTCAGTCAAAAATCTACTCAACGTATTTATTTTTTTTTGTCAATAATGAGATATATTGACTATTTTTATTCTAAATATCTTCAGAACGGTTACTCATAGCGATTATTAGTATTTTTTCACTCAGTATTACTCTTCAAACCAGTTAAAACACATGTAGGTTGCGCCCCCTACAAATGAGAGTCATATTGACATCAAAATCAAATTTCTCATGTCAAAAAACTCCCAGACACCAATTTTCATCCAAATATTGACGTTACTTCAGAAATTATTTGGAAAAATCGAAATAAAAATGAAACTTCTACACACTGTATTTCCAAAACTAAGCATTTTAGGACATACATTTATACGAACTTATTTACTTGTTTTTATCTGCAATAAACATATTATCTAGAATATGATGCCGAAGTTTCTGTTTCTACAGTTCGGACCACCCTGTATATGTTTTAATAGCAGGATTATGGGACGTCGTTACAGCTACCCTTAGTAGATATTTGACGACCATTTTCATGTAAAATTTGTTGCGACGCTCCTTAGCTTTTATTTGAACTTTTTTTTCTAACCCTTACCGTTTCTCGGAAATTTGGAGAAAAAATCTTTATTTATTTATTTCACCCCTTCTGGGGGGTGAATATAAAAAAATCTTTCACAGTTTGTTTTTCGATCTTTCAAAGTAACTTATATAAAAAAAAAGTTTTTGCCAAAACTTCGTATATGAACGCCTATTTTCTTGGACTAATAATAAGGATTTTATTTTGTTTTTAAACAAAAACTAACTACAAAATCAATTTTCACCGTAATCAATTAATATAAATAAATTCCATCATGATGCTAAGGTCAGCATGTAAAATTTTAAAGATTTCTAATGTAATTATTGAGTGTCAATAAAAATTAAGTATGTAATCTAAATTTTTTTAGTAAAATAGGAAATATAATTGTATACCATTCAGATAAATACATTACTGGTGGTTACCTTTATTACATTAACAATTAAAACAAAATAATATTATGGTTGTTTTATTAAAAAAGCCTTTTATCAATCTGAAATTTTTATACAAATAAAGATATGTTCTATATTATCTACATTTAATGGTCTGCTTCTAACTATTTTTATAATGATTGATTTTTCCACTAATGGGGTTATTAATCCCTACACCACAGTTTGATGTGACAAGCCAAGTCTGTTGCTTCCTTATTTTGATTATAACTTTCTCAAAGGTTAATACACCTTTTTGGTGATCAATATGTTAACATTTATACATATACAGGGTTTTTCTCACAACCTGTTGTAGAAATATATTCAAATATTTTAGTTTATTCATACTTTAATCAAACTACGATGATTACTTGTTTTTAAATGTTCTATATACTCATAATTTCATTATGAGTAAATAGGACTAGCAGCTATATATACTATATTCTTTTTGAAATGAAATCCTAAACACATTTTGCGAATACAATACTTACGGTTTATTGTTTTCAAAATATTATCATAAATGACATTGTGGAGTATCTAAACATAAAATATTATAAAGAATATTGTCTACTTTTTCTTGTTCTATTTAAATTTTCATTCCAGGTATAAGATATGTATTTAATCTTTTATAGTAATAGTAAGACCTATTGGGTGTTGGTTTCCATCACAGTTTATTCACTTTATAGCTGATCTTTTCGACTATTTTTGAGTATCAGCGTTTCACATTTTTATTCCTTAAAAGGGCCCTACACGCATCTGAGATTTGAACTGTAGGTACAGTCCTTCAATTCAGTCAAAATCTCAACGTGTAGTTGCGGTTTCGATAAAGATCTCACCGAAGATATAAGATCTGTAATTTCAACATGTTGTAATATTTTTAACGGCACAGATCACAGATTTGGCGGGAACTATACTAGACATACACAATATACAATCTAAAAGTGTAGTTTTGAAAAAATCGCTATCGATTTAGTCTTACGGCTGGTCCAAACTGAGCAATTTGGCATGCAGATCAAATCCTTGAGTATAGGGCCTCTTTTAAATCTAAAAATGGCCCAACAAGCAACGATATCTGAGAAATTTGAACTGTACAGTCCTCCGATTCCGTCCAAATATCAACGTGTATTGGAGGCTTCGATAAAGATCTCATCGAAGAGGTGATATTTACGATCTTTCAACATGCTGAACGTGTAGTGTAAAAAGATCGCTATCGATCTGATCTTATAAGATCTGAACTGTGCGATTTGGCATGTGGATCAAATCGTTGCGTGTATGGCCCTTTTAAGGGTTCATCTAGTATAGAGGAGAACCCAACTTTGTTACATGTCAAGATAAGCGAATACATAGGAGGTACGCAAATTTCTTTCTTCAAAAAGTTGACTAGGCTGTGGTTTCCATTTCAAATATTCGATTCGATTATTTATATTTTTTTGAATCAAATTTGTATAATTTTTTTAGCACCCCCTATATAATATCTGTTATTGTAAAAATTTAAGTTTAAAAAAGGCATTACCTTGGTCATGTTTTTCAAAAAAGTAATAATAATATATCCGGTGACGACTACAATTTCAAAACAACCGTTTTTTTAATTCACCCTTTCAGTGCCCCTAACTCCCTTAATATGCATTTTCCACCCTATACTTATAGGAACTTTTTTTACTATTTTTAGGAGTACTATCACCCCTTTTTTACACCATTTCAATAACACCCTGTATATGTAGATACTAGATATTTTTTACATTTTGTATTTTATAGGTATTATATTTGTGTTCGACTTGTCTCTATGCATTGTTGTTATTGAATCTGCTAAGTCATACGAAATTAAAACATATAGCCCGAAATATAAAATATAAATACCAAAAACGTGTTTGCAATGAACAAAATATTTACGATGTATAGTTAACAGTAGGTATGTAAAATTCTTATTTTGTAAATATTCATAATAAATTAATTGTCTTAAATTATAATTAACTGTAGACCATCAAGTCATACCTATGTAATTTCATTTCGTCAGACCACACTAAAAACTGAAAGAAAAAACACTGACAGTTTATTTAGCATTAAATTTAAAAGAGTATATGATAATTATTGTTATTGTCATATACCTACTATTTAGCCTGGACAGTCTGTAATTATTAATATGTGTGAAATAAGCAATTAGTATAATCTCAGCACGATGATTAATATTATAATTAGTGTATTAAGATTCACGCTTTATTTCTTAAACAAAATATTATTTATAAATAGATATAACAATGATGATTTTTCAGCTTAATTTAGATTTAACATCTAGTTAATGGAATTTAATTAAAATAAATAATTTTGTTTATTTGCAATGAATAACAAATATGTTAAATTTTATTTATTATTTTATTTTATTTAGAGTATACTATTTTATAATAATAATTTTAGGATTTTGTTTTACCTAAATTAACACATCTTATTAATAAACATACTTCTATTTAAAAATCAATTCTATTTTTGTATTTAAGGACTAATTCTATTTCAAATTGTATTAAACATATCAAATCCTTTAATATCGTACACAATAAAATTTTTATCATATCTATATTTTTTACCTTTAAAACTGTAAATCATTATTAACGCTCATAAATTTCCATCAAATTATGTCGTTTGTCAGAATTTTTTTATCATATTTATGGTCATCATTATTACTGAACTTTGATATTTCAACTAGATGTATTTTTACATTTTGTTTATAATTATCAATAATTAACAACAATAAATAATATACTTTAAAATATAGATATATTTTATCTAGTTATACATTTCATCAAGCATAAATTACAATGTATTGTATTTTATCAGTACTTCATACTGGAATAGATTTAGATTTTAGAGAGAAATAATAATATCACAGAAATCTTTATTTGGAATATCTTAAGTATTATAAAATTAAATATTCTAATAAACATATCAAAATTAAAAAAAAACTTAAACTAAAAATATTAGATCTTTTTAATATTTTTTCTTTATTTAATCGTCCTTGTTCAATTTACTATCACTATTATTTTTTGGTATCCTCCCGTACAGTCTACTTAAGGCAGTTTTGTATCGCACTAACATTTTGTTTTTAATTTTATTTGGCACTACCAAAAGAGTGGTTATCGAATTTCCGGTGAAAAACACCAACATTAATATTCCTAGAGCTGCAACATGCCAGGTAGCTTCAGGATGAAAGGATAACTTATACAAAATATAGGCATTGTAGAGTTGATAGAAATAGGCTATAAACAAGAAAGGCAAAAGGAAAGTTAGCCCCCTCCACATCCAATACTGGAATCCTTCCAGTGTAATCTCCATGTTGTCCTTTTGCCCTAAGGCTCTCAATCTGTATAACGCGCCTTCTTGATAGTTAAACAGTAGATACTGTAAGAAACAGTTGTAAATATTATATCTGAAGAACTGTCCTTTGAATTCAAGCCAAGTAGCATTTTCCGGCCAAACCAGGAATATTCCAGAACTCACTGTCGACAGTGCGTGATGGATTCTCCACCACATCTTTATTTTGGAACCGTTAGTTCTTAATATACTCTCCCTTATTGTTAGAGTACAATAATACCATACCAAAAAGAAGAAATAAAGCATCTCAAAAATCTTATATCCAGTAGTCATGATTAAGAATAATGATACTAAGGCTATGACATGGCAAATCAATTTGAATTTTTCATAGTCGTCTTTGTATTTGAATTTGGCGTCCTGACTTAGAAAAGATACGTCTACATTACCTAAAATTACCCTTAAATATCTGCTTCCACTTTTAGGTAATGTTTCCTCGATTAGTTGTAGTTGGGCCTCTCTTTTAACTGCCTCTTCCTCGATGTTTTTAAGATCATGGCTTCCTTTGAGGCTTTTGAAGTTTTTTTGAATGGACTTGAGGCGGTACCGTTGATGCTTAATTTGTGCCAAACATACCGACTGACTTTGAAGAAATTCCTTCTGTTTATTAAGGTAAACCTGGTGAGTTTCTTCCAGTTTTTTATATTCGTCGGCCAGTTCTTCCCATTCGGCTTGGATGTCATCCGCCATTTTAATGTTGCTTGAATGGAACTGCACTGCACTAGACGCTGTTTAAAATAAACTCGTTTTAAACTGATCGTTCAATTCATTTTAACCCACCTATCTATCACTGTAACGAAGGTGAAAACACGATTTGTTTATCTAATAATGGACTCGATAAGATACAGAGAAGTAGCGTTTTCGATTACGACCATTGTTGTTACTTTGAACCTGCTTGTCCGAAGCGTTCGCGACGATATTTTTCAATTTTTGGTCGGAGAGCAAAGTTTTTACAGTCGCAGCACGGTCAACGGTATCTGACTGGTATTTTGATAAATTAGTCAACAATACCGGGTGCGTCTCAAAAGTGGCTAACCCCTATAAGTTTTTTTTTACTTTTTTAAATAAAAAAAACGAGATTTGGTGTGTTACTATATCACGTAAATTAGAATTGATTGATGTATTCATTTGTTTTTGGACATTTTCCTGTTTCACCGGAAATTACTACAACTTTTGATTTTTAAAAGGCATCCTCGATATATTTTTACTTGATTCGTGACATTTTCGTGTAAAAAAAATCGTATTTTAAATTTCAATCTAGAGTGCCAGTGTGCTAGTGTGAAAAACACTCATTTTTAATCAAGGAGCCTTGGAAAAATAGATTTGATTGTCTAATGTTTTTCGTGTCTTGCCCTAGCTGATTAAAATATGCCCAAATCGTATTTTTAATCTTATCTCAATTTTTTCAAATAGAACAAGGGTGGTTCATTAGTATATTTGGAAAAAGAGCATTTTATATTATAACCTGGAATAGTAAAAATCTTTTTTAATTTCTCGGAGCATGTCAAGAAAAAAGAAAATTGTATTTTACAGAAAAATATGTTTTTGTTTTGCGTTTTAAGGGTCGAAATATATTACCGAATAAAATATTACTTATGTATTAAATATTAATATTAAATATATAATTAATATTTTTTTGTGATCAAAAATTAAACGCTTCAAAGTCGTAGTAAATAATAAAATTTGTACTTAATAAGATAGTTACTGTGCAAAAATAATTTCTTGCATTATGTATTGTATATTCTATAAAATACAACAAAGCTTTAAACGATATTTTTAGAGGTGACTATAGTTAGCTTTTCCTATAAAAGTCTGCAAAGCGTTTTATAAAGGTTTTTTATTACATGGATATACCGTAAAAAAGGAAATAAAGATATGTATGATAATAAATCAAGTGGGTTAAAGTTTAACCGAATATTTAATATTCGGAAATACTTTTTAAAATACAATTTCTTGTAATTTATAATTTTATACAGATAACCAAGAGATAACCTAAAGGTGCGATTTCTATTTGGATCAGTAGGAGGGACACGACAATAGGCCAAGCAGGAGCTGCGTCCTCGAAAGCTCGCGCAGTAGAAAGCGTAAACAGTGAACCGTAAAAAAACTTATATATCAGTTTGGTAGGTTTTTTTATACTTCTTAATTTTAAAAATTTGCGACAGTAAAAAATAGTTTCACCCGGAAAATGCAAAAAACTGCGTTTGAGTGGCTTTGGCGCCCTCTAACTTTGTCCTCGAGCTACGTCCACACCGAAAGTAACACCTAGGAACATTATGTTTATGTTGCTTGTTCCTGGAACTTGTTTATGAATGTTGCCAAAAGTTTATTTAAGTTCCTCATTCTTTACGGTTGCAGCAACAAAAGATTCTATAAATTGCTTGTTTCCATATTTAACGGCAAAGATCAAAGGAAATATAGAAACATTGGTGAACAAGTTCCTCGATTGTATTTTTATAGTGTGGACAGGTTGTTTCTTGTTTCCAACACCCGAAACTTGTGTCGTGAAGCCGTAGCATCGTTGCCCAAATCATCAGTTGATTTAGTAGTAGGTATAATAATAAAAACAAACATGCCCTTTAAATGGACAACAGAAAATATAATATGTTTAATTGAATTATACCGAAATGCCGAGTGTTTGTGGATTCCACGGGATAAAAAGTATAAAGACCGTTATCAAAAACAGGATTTATGGGTGGATATACCGGGTGCGTCTCAAAAGTGGCTAACCCCTATAACTTTTTTATTTCTTCAGAGAAAAAAACGAGATTTGGTATTTTACAATATGACATAAATTGGGATTGATTGACGGATTCAATTGTTTTAGTCACTTCCTGTTTCACCGGAAATGGCTACAACTTTTGGTTTTTAAATGGCACCCTCGGTATTTTTTTTACTTTATTCGATAGAAAATGGCACTCTGAATAGAATGACATATCATATGTCATTTTGACATTTTCTCATATGGATTATTTGAAATTATAGCATGCAGTTCATAACGATAATTTGACTCGAAATAACAAGTGTGTGGCGAAACACCAAATTATTCCTCAAAAAATGCTTTTTCCAAATATGCTAATGAGCCACCCTCGTTCCATTTGAAAAAATTGAGATATGATTAAAAATACGATTTGTGTATCTTTCAACCGGCCAGGACAAGACACGAAAAACATTAGACGATCAAATCTATTTTTCCACGGCGCCTTGAAATAAAAATTAGTGTTTTTTTTAACACAACCATGGCACTCTAGATTGAAAAGTAAAATACGATTTTTTTTTAAAACGAAAATGGCAAAAGTTGACATATTATGATATGTCGCTCTATTCAAAGTGTCATTTTCTATCGAATAAAGCACAACAAATATCGAGGGTGCCATTTAAAAATCAAAAGGTGCAGTCATTTCCGGTGAAACAGGAAGTGACTAAAACAATTATTGAATACGTCAATCAATCCCAATTTACATCATATACTAACATACCAAGTCTCGTTTTTTTTATCTGAAAAAATAAACAAGTTATAGGAGTGAGCCACTTTTGAGACGCACCCGGTATATAATGGAATTGGAAATGGCGTTACTGTTGATGAAGTTAAAAGAAAAATTAAAAATTTGGTGGCACAGTTCTACAGAGAGGAAAAAAATATAGCTCATATAAAAAATCTGGTGCTGGAGCATATTTTGTTAGTAAGTAGTGGTTTGTCTATAAGTACATGGAATTTCTGTCCTTTCTGTTCTCTTTTGTAAAATATTACAATTGCAGCTGCTGCAAATCTTCGTCGGACCACATTGTAAACTAGAAACAGAAACACACACTGCACTGGTATGGACACATGTTTCCTATTGCAGCAACACAACGAAACATTCACAAGAATGAGTTACCTTGGTGTGGAAAGAATGTTTACGGAACTTTTGCTGTTGTCTCAGTTTCCATAAATCATTATTCAATTTAAACAGGTTGCGGCAATCTGCAACAAAATGTTCCTCTGTGTTTCTTTGGTGTGGACGTAGCTGTAGGTTTTAGAGATTTGTTACTTTGAGATAAAAATGTAGATAATTTAATTCTCTTCATTTTTTGTTCCATAAAATTTTCTGTGGGACCGACGGTTCAACCAGAAAATCGAATTCAAAATTTTTTTGAGTTTCTCAAAACCGGTGGGGTGGGGGTTACGAATTTTCGAATTTAAGCTTTTCCAGTGGACCACTTACGACTGGCAAAGTATAAGAGCGAAGGTAATTTGATGGGAGTTAAAAGTGCCAGATTGACTGTACTATTAAAATTAAAGGACAGAAAAAAATATAAAAATATTTTTTTTTATTTGCCGGTATTTGTAGTGATCGCATAACATATCGTGCAATGCTACAATGCCATAAACTTAATTTTCAAAAAATTTAATATTATTTTATTCGAATTGTTTGGATCATTTTGGTGCACTCTACATATATATATATATATATATATATATATATATATATATATATATATATATATATATATATATATATATATATATATATATATATATATATATATATATATATATATATATATATATATATATATATATATATATATATATATATATATATATATATACATATATATATCTTCCACTATATTTTCAAAATACTTAAATTAGTTTTGCTTGGACAAGGCGATTTAATTAATTTTTATTGTTTGGAAAGAAACGCACCGTATTATTGTCATTAGCCTAGTCACGAAAGGACACAAGACTTTCGTGACAAAATCTAATTATCGTTCGTTGGCGAAATAAACTTTATGATTTCTGTTTCTTAAAATATAACACAAACATAACAGTCTCGTAAAAGAAATGTAATTACGCACTGTGGCAAAACATATAGATTTTTCAGTTTGTTCAGGTAATTTTACGAAAGCGTATAGAGTTGCCATGCCAACATTGTGAAATGTTTTCAGCAAACTTTACAGTTTTTCTGTAAATTTACTCTTTCTCTGTAAATTTCTAACTTAGTGGCAACATTGGTAATTTATCCACCGTTTATACTTATAAAAAGAGCCTATAAAGAGATTATACTTATAAAAATAAACCGAACCACCTAACCTAAACGACAGGCGTAAGTTTTTCTCTTTCTCAATATTTTTTCACTTTTTCAAAAATATACCGGATCTTTTTCAAAAGTGGCTCACTCCTATAACTTTATTTTTTCAGATAATAAATCGGGATTTAGTATGTTAGTATATGACATAAATGAACATTGATTGATGTATTCAGTTACTTTCGATTCACTTCTTGTTTCACAGGCAGAGTTCACAGGGAATGATTATCTACAATTCTTATGGAATAGATGGTATTCCCGTTTTTTTTATGATAGACAATAAGGAGTTCGGATGTTCTGGTTGCAACTTTTGTGGGATTATAATTAGTTGCTTTTAAGGTAGAAATTGGCAGAAAAAGTGTAAATTTACAAAAAAGTGCAAATTTACAGGAAAAGTGTAAATTGGCAAAAAAAAATTACAAAAGTAGTGTAAACTTATAAAAGAAGTGTAAATTTACGTAGGAAAAGTATAATTTTAAAAAATGTGTAAATTTACAGAAGTGTACAGGGTGGGCCAAATTGGATGCTTTTAAAGGAAAACATCATTTTCTATAGGAGATAGACGAAAACCAATATCGGTGTCTGGAGCTTAATTTTTATCAAAAACATGATGGTGAAAACCGCACATCGATATCTGTTACTATTTCGGAGTTACGGGGTGTTTTTCAAAAATGTACATTTTTTACAAATTGCTGTAAATTTTTTGCTATGGAAATTTTTGAATTTTTATGAAAATAAATTAATTTCTAAGGCACCTTTTTAAGTAGATGTAATTTAATGGTTTGAGTATATTTTTTTAATTAATAATTTAAGAGTTATCGACAAAAAATTTATTTTTTTATTTGGGACACCTTGTATATTTTTAATAAACTGAAAAGAACTTAAAATTACCTTTCCCAAAATATATAGCACACTTGATACTTTGTTATAGGCCCTTCGAAATACAGAATTTTTAAAAGTTCGCCACAACTCGAAAACATATTTTTCCAGCAAGACGAGGCACCGCCTCAGAACGCTGAAATTATCAGCAAATTTTTGCAGTCAACTTCGAGAATAATTGAATAGCTGGGAAGTACGGTTATACGAGAATATTATTCACCCCTACTGAGTTAATAAATTCCGCGAGAAATGTTCAAAAACGGTCCCGTGTGTCCATCCATAACAGAAGACGGTCGATATGTCGACACCTGTAGCAAAATATCATGTCTTGGTTTGCTATTAATTTTTATTTTTTATTAAATATAGTTTAAATTGTTATGAAATTCTGCATCTCTCATTGCAAATATTATTTTCGTTTTAATTGCTGTTCACAGCTAGATTTTTTTTGCATTACAGCCGGCACCGTTCAAGTCAACTTATTCAAAGTGGGCAAATTTTTAAAAACTCTATATCTTGAAGAAAAATTGAGTAAAATATCAAATCTGCTGTATTTATGGAAAGGTAATTTTAAATCGTTTTCAATGAATTAAAAATATACAGAGTGTTCCATATAAAAATCAAATTTTCTTCAAATAATTCTTAAATTATGAAAACCATTAAATTCTACGTAAAAAGGTGATTTGGAAATGTTTTCATTAAAATACAAAATTTTCCATAGCAAAAAAAATACAGCGATTTTTTAAAAATGCACATGTTTGAAAAATATCCCGTAACTCCTGTCTATCTCCTATAAAAAATGATGTTTCTCTTCAAAAACGTCCAATTTGGTCAACCTGTACATTTACAAAAAAGTGTAAATTTCGTTGAAAATAATTTTCAATGTTGGGCATGTCAGCTCTAAGCGTTCATAAAATTTTCAATACAAATAAAACTCGTAAATAAGTATATTTTATTAATAAGTAACAATAATTACAGAAACTTATCGCAACACACGGAATAATTACAAAATTAAAACATATTTTCATATAACTTAATTATATTATATCATAATCTACTAATAAGATAACACATAAATATAATTATTCAGAATTAACAGTAATATCAGGTTTGTAGACTTAAAAAAGTATACCGTATGATCTAAAAAGAACGTCCAGTTGGCTTTGAAATAATGATCTTTGATATTCCCCATATAATTTTACATATAAAATAACAGCGATCTTCATTTCCAAGCGCCATTTCAGACATTGTTTTTTTTCGACCTCTGGTATCTTCCCTGAGCTTTTTATATTATCGAACAAAATCAATTGGTCATATTATAGATATTTTTAACAGTTCTATTTAGAATACTAGTCGCCCGGCTACAACAATTGATGTTAACACAATGGAGAACAATGAATTTACTATACGTGGAGATCCACTCGATTCTGATTCAGCCCTAAAAATAGAATATTCTGTTAAGTTTTATTTGTTTTGACTATTAAGCTGGACACCCACAAAAAGAACACAACTACTTTAGTCAAAAACGTTTTTCCCGGGCAAAATCGTTTTTGTCTTTTCTAAAACGATTTTGTTTGGAAGAGAAGCAAAATATTTCATTTACAATTACATATGCACAGCAGCAGATATAGAACGGGTCGCAATTAAAAATGTTTTAACATAAAACGACGATCAATCGGTCGATATCGATCAGCGTGACTATGATTAAATGAGTCTAAACCTGTCTTCAACCTCGAGATTGATTATTGTGTGTTGGTATTGTTATGTTTTTGACTAAAACTGTTCTGCTCTTTTTGTGTGGGTCCAGCCTTAAACAATATATTAGACATAACAGCTGTGATAACAGCCTATAATCTTTTAGCATATTACAGGATTAGATGATTACTTTAAGCTGTTCTGTACAACATGAGACAACTATAAGTTCATTTTCTCGTTTGATTTGAAAATTACGAAAAAAGATAAATAGGAAAGTTTTAGAGTATGTTAATATACATATTTCATTATGATATATGAGTATAAAAAGTGCTTCAAGGATATAGTGTGGAGGATATAGTTTAACTATTTTTGTACAGTAAGTATAGCTATTTCACTCTCCGACTTACTAGATTAGATCGCCATAGCGATTCACTTCTAGACATGTAAACCACCGACCCCTCTTGTTATACATATACCAAAAACAAGCATTTTGTGTAACATGTATTTCAAGTCATTTAAAAGAAATGTTAGATTTTATTATGGTAAAAAATTGTTAGTGTTGCTATTGTTTCTGAAGTTGGAGTACTCAAATTTGGTAGCATGTTTTTACAGAGTTGAACAAAAATGTACATGTAATGGTATTTGAGTTAGATGCTACAAGGTGTTCAAAATAAATTCAGATCAATCAGATTCGTCTATTTAAAATTAATAAAAACAGATTTTTAAATAGCATTCTTAACTAATTTTAGATTGTGTATACTACATTACCTGAACCAAATCTATTTAATTTTTTTTTTGTAATTCTGAAAACAAACGAGATAATGAACTTTATCGTTGAACAACGCTGTAAAATTTTTATATTAGTAATTAAAGCAACTTGTAAAAATACTCTTAAGGTATTTTTCTGATTTGTAAAAGCGACACTTAAATGTACATTTACAGTTAGTATTGCTGTTCTCGACTTTTTGGTAAATAAGTTAGTAACGGACAAGCAGATAACAACTACGTAGAAGCAGGATAAAATAAAATAATGAGGATACACATATAGTTTAAGACAGTTTATTATTTTTAAACATACTTAAAAAAACAATAATAACAGCAGAAGCAATAGCAATAAACAATGAGGAGGGAATGTGAAAACTTTTATGTATTTAACATAAAAAATATAATATAAGTATTTCTATGAGAAATAAATTACCGTCTAACTGCTATTCTACTAACAGATACAAAACGTGTAAAAATAAAAAAAAATATTGTTATTTATAATTAGTTCCATCCTTATTGTTGAAACATAAAACAAAAAGTAAGAATGATAATTACAAAATTCCAACCACTCCACATCCGACTCTAGCGCCTGCATGACCAGTTGTGAGTGAATCTTCATATCCTCCTGAAAATACAGAAAAATTAGTATTACATTATGTAGTTACAGTAGTTTATATAAATACAATATCTTTATCTATTAAAATATAATAAACTAATTTAACAAATTTTTATACCAGGATTGAATGATACGGATCATAATTATTATAGAACATTTGAATGATCTAAATAATACTAGTTCATGGGGCAGCTACAAAACAACATAGGATATGCAGATGATATAGTCATGATCGCTCGCGGGAAACACGAAGGCACCTGTGTTATATTATTCAAAGTTCCAAAATGGACTCTGTATCACTGAGAGATAGTGCAGGACTGTCGGACTGAGCATCAACTCAGAGAAAACGGCGATAGTGTTATTCAGCAGAAAGCGAAGTCTGAAAAAGAATCCATTTAGATGAAAGGGAAATACTGCCATCACAGGAAGTCAAATATCTGGGGATAACCCTGGGTAGTAAACTTCTCTGGAACAGACATGTTAAGAACATTACCAGCAAAGCCACAAAGGATTTCATGGTATACAGAAAACTGGCGGAAAATAGATGGTCTGCGCCTCTAACATTTTGCGCTGGTTGTATACCGTAATGGTAAGACCCATGATTACCTATGGAGGAGTTCCTTGGTACTTAAAACTAGAACAACGTACGGCAAGGCAATCTAACCTTGATCTAACACATATCTAACATCACAGCATATTGTCGTCGGTAGACATGTCAATGCGATAATGATTGGAATGGTCATTGACGCAAACAGTACTGATAGAATTTTTAGGTCAGGGGCTTGTAACACCCTCAGAAAGAAAATTCCACTCCTCTAACTCCCAGTGGCTGACATACCAAGAATGTACAACTTTGAGAAACACCTCACTGTAGTATTGAGCAATAAAAAGGATTGGAAGAGAAACACGTTTGCTTAGTATGTAAAAGACCATACTATAACGTGGTATACTGATGCTTTCAAAACCAAAGCCGGATAGGAGTATTTAGGCCGAAAACTCGGAACCCCAATGGGCACCTACCCCAGCGTCCTTCAGGTAGAAATATATACTGTCGAAAGATGCATACAATTCATCTTAGATAGGAACTCTCAAAAACGGGAAATAGCCTTCTTATCCTATAGTCAAGTAGCACTAAAAGCGATCAGCTCAATAAACAGTCAATAATCAATTCGAAGTTGGTCAAAGCACAGAGATTGTTGAGAATCCAAACCACTACAAGTTTATTTTTTTACTGTCACCTTTCAGTGCAAATTAGGTTAAACCTAGTATTTTTTTTTATTTAAGAAATCTTTGATTTAAGTAAGTACAATTTGTTTTATTTAAATAAGAAAAATCTTTGGATTGTCACGGGTTTTCTAACAGGTCTGTCGCTTCAATCTGCATTGCAATCTGCATGCACATCACATTCAATCTACTGAGGTGTTCGCTGAAGCTGAGAAACAACGGCGAATGCAGATTCTGTGGGGAAAATGGAAAAACATTATTATAGCACGACAACCGTTCGTGCCATAAACTTTGGTCGACAAATGGAGAGCTGGCTTCTCTGGAGCTGTCTCAGATACTGGCTTTTGTCAGCCCCGAGACTGTATGATGAATTATAACTCGTTATAACTCTAACAATATAAAGAAACCCCCTCAAAAAGAAGAACACCCTATAAAGAAGTCTCCTTTGGTGTATCTTCGTTGTTCCCAAGTGTTCCAATTCCACATACTTTAGGCACAGCTTACAGAATAACATAGCTTTGACACTCGCCAATTTTTCCCACGCTCGAATTTAAAACGCCCCACTCCGACGATGCGCTAACTGAATTAAGCGACCGACAGTCAGCCTCATTCAGTCGATGCATAGCCTCCACCGGTGGCGCGTAGGGCCGAATTACGGAAGATTTTAATTCGATTTTTTTCTTATATTTAACCATTGGTATTCGTGCTTTTATTTCAATTTTATTTTTATTGATGGAATGGGAAAAGGTTTTCCGGAATGTGCGGCTGCTGGTTGCACAAATAATTATGGAAATAATTCAAAATATAGTCTGTTTAATTTTCAATTCAATTCAAAATTAATGTTCAATTCAAAAGTATATTCACACTTTAGAGCTTTTCAAAACGATGAAGACTACTTATTTGGAGGCTTGCTAATGCCAAGTGACAATTTTTTTATTTAGTTTCCTCATTGGAGGCTATTTTTATAAGCTTTTATTTAACTTGTTTTGTATGTTTGTTCGGGGCAAATCTTGTAAGCTAAATTAAAACCACTTCCTTTTATTGTAGGAGATTGAAATTTGGCATGTAGGTTCAGTCCCGATGACAATACATTTTTTTGCAAGGCATGACCCGAATTTTTGACAGCTGTCAAAATGGCGACATTTTTGAGGTTTTTGATTTTTTAAAATTCTATTTATGAATGGATCGGGCTGAAATTATATATATATATATATATATATATATATATATATATATATATATATATATACAGGTTGTTAACTCGACAGTTACTTATAGGGAAACAGAATGGCAACACTGCCTATTGAGAACGTATGCATTATTGATTTTTCTGCCGACTCGTCCCGTCGCGTCGTCTATCGACGAGCGGGCCGAGGTTATTTCAACCATAAAACTCTTGCCGCGAGTAATGAACAATTTAACAACATGTATAGGTATATTGTGGGTATATACATATGAAAAAAAATATATGGGCGGCCATCTTGAAAAAATGACAGTTTAATGACATGTCAAAATTTCAAAGTCAACCGATTTTCATAAAAATTGATATATAGGATGGCCATGGGCGAAAATGAAAAAAAAATGTTGAGCTGTCAAATTTGACAGTTTGAGCTGTCAGAAAAATTTCAAAGTTGTCCGATTTTGATAAAAATCGATGATGGCCGTGGGCTAAAATGAAAGAAAAAAATGTTGAGCTGTCAAATGTGACAGCTGTCAAATAATTTCAAATTTGTCCGATTTTGATAAAAATCGATATATTGGATGCCCCCTACCCCATAGTCGGTTTTCATTTTATTTGTCTCACATTTGAACTGTCAAATTTGACAGCTGTCGTGTTTTTTAAGTTCTCCTTTTTTAATGAAAATCGATATACATATTATTAGGATACCCATAGGATACCCAAGTTATTTAAGAAAAAAATTGAGTTTAAGTGTGTGGCACTGTGAAACCAGCATAACTAAAAAGTAGAAAATAAATTTTATAAAAAAACCTTTTTTAAAAACAAGCTTTTATTTAAATAACTAAAAAGAATAAAATAAACTCTTTTTCTTTAAAACTTTTATTATGAACTTAGAACGTCATTACACAATTTTAATATTAGATATATAAAAGCTTGTCGCGAGATTTCTCTACATCGATAAACAAGTAAATTAACTAAAACCTGTGTCTACCCTGTCTCATTCTCAAAGTTTCTGTTATGATAGACCACTAGACCAGGAATTACAAGATAAAGTTGTCGTACCAGATTTTTATGAGTGCAAATGTACACTCAAATCTCGCGACAAGCTTTTATATAATATTAAAATTGTGTAATGACGTTATAAGTTCATAATAAAAGTTCTAAAGAAAAAGTTTATTTTATTCTTTTTAGTGTATTTAAATAAAAACTTGTTTTTAAAAAAGTTTTTTTATAAAATTTTTCAGAACAATTTTGAAGAACTTTTCTTAAATGAAAATATATTATGTAAATTCGTTAAATTATTTCAGACAATTAAATTCAACCATCAATCAAAATTTTCCTATAATGTATTTTTTGTTAAATTTATACGCAAAAGTTAGAAATTATTATACCTTAAAGAATATTACTAAGAACTTAAATGTAGCAAACAAAAACCGAAAGCTCCTAATTTAGAAACATTCGTAAATAACTATAAGTAATCAATGTACTTATTTCATTTTGCTGTTATTTCTAGAAATAAATTAATTAATTTGTTTTTTAAATGTTTTTCTTTGAGAATGCATATTTATTTAAAGTCAACAATTTAAAAAACGTGTATCTAAATTATGTTCTAGCACCAGTCGAATAATTTTTTACGTCACGTGTAAATTTTTTTTGAATACATCTCTGGGCTGACTGGCGCTTACGCGGCTATTGGTTTTGGCGAGAGAGCTCGCCGCTTTAGTGTTCCCCCTCTTTCGAATCGCAAATCCAAGCGTAAAAAGATCAAAGCGGCATGCTACACTGTCCGAGCTGGTTTTTACTTAAGCTGTGCTTTAGGCTACTTGAAGGAATTAATGAACGCAAATGGTCTCGACAACAAAACTATGACTGAATATATTGAGCTTACATCGTTATGTATGAAACAAAATTGTTTTCAATTTAATAATAACTTTTTTGAACAGCGGGAAGGTACAGCAATGGGTAATCCATTGTCTCCATTTTTGGCTAATTTATTCATGAGCAGGTTTGAAGTGGAGGCTAGGAATCAGTTTGAGTATTTTCCAAGAGTATGGTTTAGGTATGTGGATGATATTTTTGCTGTTTTTGACACACATTCAGACACCATAGATAATTTTATTTCTAAGTTAAATAATCGTTTTCCTTCCATTAAATTTACGCATGAAATTGAGAACAACGACCGATTACCATTTCTAGATGTATTAGTTATTAGAAATGCTAATAATTGCCTGGAATTTGATATCTATAGGAAAAATACGACCACACGCAGATATATTCCTAATGAATCACATCATAGTGTTGAACATAAAATGGCTAGTTTAAATTTCTTAGTTCATAGATTACTTAGTTTCCCACTTTCCAACGAAAAATATAAAATATAAAGAGATTACATTAGGAATCTAGCTGAGTGTAATGGATATTCTCCTTCACTAGTTGATAAATTAATTAGAAAACGTAGGTATAGGTTAATGATTTGATAAGTTGAAAATTCAACTTTTCAAGTGGAGAAAGATACGTCTAAATATTTTTCGATACCGTTTGATAGAGAGTTATCCCGTGGTCTAAAAGGAATTTTTAAGAATGTCAATTATAAACTTGTGTATAGTGCTAATAATAAATTACAACAATTATTAGGTAATCCAAATGATAAAACACCTCTACTGGAAAGGCCGGGTATTTATGAAATTTCTTGTAAAGATTGTAATCAGAAATATGTTGGGCAAACTAGAAGATCAATATTAACTAGATTTAAAGAACATTTAGCTCAGATAAGATATGGTAGACCGGATAAATCTTGCGTTGCCGAACATATTGTTGATAAAGAACATTGTATAGATCTTAATAATTTAAAATTAATTAAACAAGTCTCAAATTACAGGCAATTAGATGCATATGAAAGCATCAGAATTAATAAATGCAAAGATATTATGAACAGAGACAACGGTCCAATTCCTTCACGTTCTTTGTTCCTACTACTCTAGTGGCGGAAATCTAACTGTTACGCTGAGTTGGCTCTGACTCGGTTGGCTAGATTTTGCCACGCCCACTCGGTGCCCACTGGGCGAGTATATAAACGCTCACCTTGTAGATTGTACTTTAGTTTATAATCATCTGCTGATAATGCTAACATGGTTAGCGAAACGCGCGTCCAGTGTAAAAGTAAAAGTGTTTTGGTGTATTGTGGTGATTTAGTGTTTTTATTTTGCTGTGTAACACCAAAGGTTCTGACCCTCAACTGTAACAACTTCTTTATTTTTAAGATTTTGATAGTCAAACACCAACAAAATATTCCTTATCTTTGGACTAAATTTTCTCGAAAATAAAGATATAATTTAAAATTCCGTTACAATACGGAAATAGATTGAAGTCTTGTGATTACGGTGATATGTAATTTATATGGTTTTGTAAGAAATTGCCCGCTATTTTATGGCAAATGTTGCGGCAAACCTTAATCAGAGCACGTGTGTTTTGAATTTTAGGTGTGGCTTAACACGACAGGATCGGACTAGGCCTTAGGCAGATTTCTGAAATATAATATATATTTCCTTCGGCCACACACCCGCTTTACCCGACCCCTGAGAGCGATCCGAAAGTACAGCGTAATGGACTCTTAAGCGTAGTTGCAATATCTGAAATATTTACCTAAGCCTAAGTCATCTGGATCAGCATGTACGAGTACAGCTCTGCCGATGATGCTATGTTCACCGCTTAAAGAGATAATCGAATCGAGTATGTCAATTGTTGCTATTCCACTGCTGTTGGCATTAATGTTTCCCAAATCTCCAACGTGTCTTACAGAGGAATTTGGCCCTCCATGGTTCACCTAAAATAATATATTTGTTAAGAACTTTTAATCTTTATAAACTTTTAAAAAGTCTAAATTATTATTAATTCTGTATACTTATTGAAATAGATTATCCCATTTAAATGGAAATGTGTACTATGCTCAACCAAGTAAATATAATATGATGAATGATCAAGTGTCCTCTGCATGACGATAGAAAAACAATAATTCTTTTGTACAATTAATTAGACTTTTTTAACCGTGAAATTCTGCCTGATTTTATAACTTTTTGTTTGCATAGTATAATATTTTAATCCGAGTAATAAACAACAAACCAAGGAAACATTTAGAAAATGACTGTGAAAATCTATAATAAAACATATTAAACCTATTTGCATATTTTATTTCATAGATTTGCATTCTTAACGCGTATGCATTTAGTTTAAGTAAGTACGTACAAGGTGCCCCTATTGCAATGCACACACTGACGCGAATAAAGCCTCATACTCACTACTCCTTGCGGTTCGTCGATGCGATTCGCCAATGCGTTGAATTGATGCGATGAGCTGTACGACAGTTCGACGAAATGTCGATTTTGGGCGAACCATCAAATAAGACATCATGAACACAATGGACGAATTTCCAAACAAACGAATTGCATCGACGAACCACATCATATTCGTTATGCATGCATGGACGCATGGAACCAAATCGACGAATCAGCCCATAGTACTTAATTCGCTACAATTTTGCCATCGCGTCGCGTCGGCGTCGCACCGAATATTGCGATTTTTTAGTAAATCGAATCACACGATTCGGTTTCTCATATAGAATTGACTCCTACCACCTACAATCTTTTTAACATGTATGTAAGAAATATTTGTTCATTTAGTTCAATTTTTGAATAGTATATCATAAAAAAAAATTCTGCGGATATGCATTATCTCCAGTTTTTCAGTTTTTCATTCTAGAAACTTTTTGCGGAAGTGTACCATTTTCATTTATTCAAAAGCAAAATTAGGAGCGTCATAGGGAAGAATCAAAGTTTGAAGGTATTGAGAAATAGTAAAATGGGAAGAAAAGAAATACAAAAGATCAAGGATATGCACGGCAACATAGTAACACACAAACAGGAAATCCTACACTCTATTAAACTTTTCTATCAAGAACTTTACACATCAAAACAGCAGGGGATCCAAACCGACATCCGAAAGGTACTAAATTAGGGGTCGGAAGAAATTCCAGAAATAACCGAGGAAGAAATTATCAGTGCCCTTAGAGATATGAAAAATAATAGAGCTGCCGGCGACGATGGACTGGTAATAGAGTCAATCAAAGAAGGAGGACCAGAAAGCATCAAAGCTTTAAATGTCCGATTTAATAAATGCATTGAAGAAGAAATAATCCCATCATAGTGGAACAACGCAACCATCATTATTGTACACAAGAAAGGTGACGCTATAGATCTTAAAACTTTAGATCTAACGCTATAGCGATCTTAAACGCTATAGATCTTAAAACTTAAAACTACGTATACAAATTATTTACTAAAATACTCACCAAACGATTGGCAAATAAAATAGACTTTTTTCTTTCGAGCGAACAAGCAGGTTTCCGATCAGGTTACGGAACAAATAACCATCTTCTAACAGTCAAGATCCTTATCGAGAAATGCATTGAGTATAATAGACCACTAATGCTTGTCTTCGTGGATTTTGAGAAGGCCTTCGATTCGGTAGACCAGTGCAAGCTTCCAGAGACACTAAGTGAGAGTCGCATCGATCATCGATACTCCTCAGTCATAAGACATATATATGATAATGCCACGGCAAACATCAGAATATCGACAAATCAATGCACAGACAAATTCAATATCGATCAAGAGGTAAGACAAGGTGACACACTGTCCCCTAAACTATTCTTTGCTGTGCTAGAAAGTATGTTAAAAATGATAAACTAGGATTCAACAGGATTTAACATCGATAGCAAATTGATAAATCATCTCTGTTTTGCAGATTATATTATTTTAATAACAGACAACATACAGGAAGCACAGAATATGCTGGATATGCTGAATATCGGAAAAAGTCGGTTTGAAAATCAAGTTATCAAAGATACAATACATGACAAACCTAGTACTGAGTGGAAATTTAAACATTAATAACATACCTTTGGAACAAGTGCTTATATATAAATACTTAGGGCATGAGATCGGTATTAGAAGGGATAATCAGGCCCACGAAATTCTACGAAGAATAGGTTTGTCATGGGCGGCATTCGGTACTCTAGGCATATACTGAGAACTGATCTTCCCCTTATGTTTAAGAAGAAAGGTCTTTAACCAGTGTGTCTAGCCTGTCCTCACCTATGGAGCTGAAACACTTACTTTGACAAAAAAGAACATACATAGAATACAGGTCATGCAACGGAAAATGGAAAGGTCCATGTTGGGAGTTACACTTAAAGATAAAATACCCAATCACACAATACGAAATCGAACAGGAGTAAGAGATGCGGTGATATCTGTCGTATATCTTAAATGGAATTGGTCAGGACCAGGGCCTATTTTTCGTCTAGTCGGGCCCTAAGGCCCAAGCAAAAATTCGGGCCCTCTTTTCCAATAAAATTCAAAACTTCTTTTGTTAGTTTGGGTTAAAAAAATAAAACGTTATTTTTAGATTGGGGAATCGCCGGTACCGATATCTTTGATATAAATTTATAAATAATTTTAAAAAATGCATTAATTATATCAATCTAAAGCTTATTTTATTTAATTGCTGTGTAATTTTACATTTGAAATTATGAATATTTTACAACCTTTAACGGTTACTTTACCACCGGGCCAAGGCCCGGGCCTTATGAGCCTTCTGGTAAAATAGGCCCTGGTCAGGACATGTGGCTAGGGTAACAGATGGACGGTGGGCAAAGAGACTTGTGGAATGGAGACCAAAACACGAGACCTGTAGAAGCAGAGGACGACCTAGTCGATGCACAGATTATATTAAGAGAGTGGCTGGAAACTGGATTCAAATGGCACAAAATAGAGAGAAATGGCTAGAGTTACGGGAAGCTTTTGTTCAGCAGTGGACGGATTAAGTTAAATAATGATGGTGATGATGACTCGGCAATTGGAATTCGTAAACAGGCGGGTCTTAGCTTACAGCGTGTTTTGATTGCTTTGATTTGGTATGGTTTGGTTTGTTGGTTCGTTTTTGTTTATTTTTGTTTTTCTCGGTATGGTATTGATGTCTAAATCACAGTATCTACTAGGTTAAGCTCATACCTATACAAGAAAAGTGTTTAGAATGTAAAGCAGGAATATGTTTTCATGTAACTGATTTCACAGTTAGTCTCAAGTTAACACCATTTTATGAAAATGACGTATTTCCGCAGAAATTTTTTTATGTGTTTCAGAAAAGTGTTTAAAATGTAAAGCAGAAACATATTTTCATGTAACTGATTTCGCAGTTATTCTAAAGTATCAGGTATTCTAAGTCGGTTAGGTTAGGTTAGGTACATCAACGTTAGTTCACAAATTATTTGAAAAAAATAGAAATAAACATGAAATTTCTACACCCTGTATCTCCGAAACGAAGCATTTTAGAACATAGATTTATAGAAACTTTTTATCTGTTTTTACCTACAGAGCATGCTGCCGAATGAACACCCTGTATAGGAAAGTTAATTATAAAATGCAGTAATAAATTGTCAGTAATAATTAATATTCGGTGGTATTAAGTAATTAATTGTAAATACACTACTTGAAACGTAGTTAGGAAATATTAAATAGTAGTGTTTTGTTTACTATAAGTAGCGAATTATTGCTTTTATTAGATTTAGATAATTGGATAAAGTTATCTAGTATTTTAAATGATTTAAATTAACAATAGATAACTGACGTTTGTTTGTTTGTTGTTATATTAAAATTTTCCGTTCGATATATTTACTTAATATATTAATCTAAATTGAAGAACATAATTATACAGGGTCCGGCAATAGTGCGACGGGCATCTGAATAAAAAACTTGGGAATTTTGTTTAAGTGTAAACCTAAAGGATGTACAAAGATGTATTTCAGGAAAATATTTTAACTTCTATAGGGTCGCCCAAAGAAGTGTGAGTGGATCGGGATGATTTGATTTTGATTGGAACATCCTGTATATTATTGCATTTTTGGCTTCCTTTCGGATCACTTTACATAATTCTAAAATATGAATAAATATATTTCGATAGTTTCAGAGATATAAATAAATAAATAAAAAATATATTTTTTTTTCAACCCTCAAAAATTATTACAAATACAAGAAATGTCCTGAAATTTAAACCGATCCACTCACAGTTTTTTGAGCCACCCTACAGAAGTTTAAATATTTTCCTGGAATACATCCTAGAACATACTATAGATTTTCACTTAAACAAAATTTTTTATTCTAGGAGCTACAGATGCCCAACGCACTATTGCCGCACCCTGTACATGAAAGTTGAATAAATACTTCAGTACATAAAAATAGCTTTAAAGATAAAATTATTTTGAATAATACCACTCACATTATGAGGATTGAAATGACTTCCTGTAGAGGTACAACCATTGGTCAAGTCCCCAAAACTATGAATATGGAAACCGTGATCACCTGAAAGTAAGATTTATTTAATTATAATTAATATATTTTTAAATAAATCCTTATAAGTACCTTCAGTTAATCCAGATATGAAACCAGTAATTAAAATTCCATCAGAAGTCTTATTGAAATAAACAGTACCTTTAGCGTCACCAGATGTTAAAGTAGATATTGCTGCTTCCTACAATAAACATAGAATTTTTTACAATTATTATCAGTGTATATTTTGACACCCCCAATGAACAAGATTGTATTAATTTACATTATTTTTCAATCAAACTAAAAAACGAAATCAAATCGTTTAAAAAATATAAAAAAAACAATCGTTAATATTGAATTTAATTAAAAATAAATGGGTGTCAAAATTATTCTTTGAAGATATGAATTTAAATTTAAATAATCCATACAAAAATGATGAGGGCTTATTTCTAAAAACAGGTATTCATAAAAATATATCAAATTAAAGGCTACTAATAAAATATTCATACAATTAACTTGTTAAATTCTTAAAAAAATTATAATAGAATAAAAGATCATACCTGAGCGCAAGCAATAGCCACCAGACAGAAGCCAAACACAAATCGCAGCATTTTATCACTTGTTCTAGAAATACAAAAACAACAATTAAGAAGTCCTATAATATATCTACGGAATAATCCGCATCGATCTCAAAGTATATATGCCAAGGAAATTGAAAGTCATATGTGTGTATAGTAACAAACATAAATCCGAGAATGTTTTGCTAGAGGTGGTGAACTGATCTGTATTGAACAACAACTGATTTGAGAGGTAAAATATAGAGTTTGTTCCTATTTTTTGTCCAAATCTTAAAAGACTGGGTTACGTGTTCGATCACTCAATAGTTATTAATAAATAAATATTAATGTAAATTGATTAAATCTAAAATTTTAATGTATATAAACAGAAAGATATTGCTTTAAAATATTTAAGCAAATCATCATCATCTTCTTCTTCCGGTGCCTTGTGCTTAGCCGCACGTTGGCGATTGTCTGTACTCTTCATACAATGTGTAGAGTGCCGTTTTCGGCTCTTCGAAATATAGTGGCTGCGTCGCTGATGTTACACCAATCCCGTATGTTTCTTAGCCAGAAATGTTGTTTTCTTCCTGGGCCTGGCCGTCCCTCTATTTTTCCTTGTAGAATCAGCTTAGGAATGTAATATTTGTCTCCTCTAAGGTATGAGACTTTCCTTTCTTTAACTATATTAAGCATTTCGTTCATAGCCTGCAGTTCTTAAAACTTCTTCGTTGGTGGCATGTGCGGTCCATGGCACACGTAAGAGTCTCCGGAGAGTCCACATTTCGAAAGCCTCGATGTGGTTCAGGGTTCTAGCCTTGAGAGACCAGGTTTCTGCGCCGTATAGTAAGATAGGCCATATGTAGCATTTTACTACCCGTAGTCTAAGTGTTAGCGGGAGACTGCGTGCTAATAGGAAGTTTTTAAGTTTAAAAAATGTTGACTTTGCATAATTCGTTCTAAGTTTAACTTCCTCATCGCAGTCCCATCGTTCATTGATCATGGCACCCAGATATTTAAATCGTGGAACTCGCTCTATAATATTTCCATCCACGGTCAATGCGGTGTTGATTGTAGGCTGGCGTCCTATTACCATAAGTTTGGTCTTGGCAGCGTTGATTTTAAGACCGAAACGATTTCCCATGTCCCCTATCTTATTTATTATTTTCTGGAGATCCTCTAAAGTTGGTGCTAGTATTGCCGTATCATCTGCATATCTTACATTGTTAATTGGAACTCCGTTAATCTTAATTCCTTCACTTTCTCCTTCCAGGGCCATTTGAAATATCTTTTCGACGTATATATTAAAAAGTATTGGTGACAGTATACAGCCCTGGCGGACTTCTTGACACACATTGAAGGTGTCTGTGGATAAATTTTTGTTAACTCTTATCTCCGTGGTTTGGTTCCAATATAGTTCCTGTATGATTCTAATGCCTTTGGCGTCTATTCCTATCTCGAGCAGTCTGTTTAGGAGAATATCGTGTTTAACGTTGTCGAAAGCCTTCTGATAATCTATGAAGCATACAAAAACATCTTGGCGTTGATCATAACATTTCTGGATTAGTAGCTTGATTGAAAACAAAGCCTCTCTGGTACCCAGCCCCTTGATGAAGCCGAACTGTGTCTCTCCGCTTTTTTCTTCACATTTCGCGTATATACGAGCATGCATGACTCGAAAAAAAAGTTTCAGAGCATGACTCATTAGACTTGTAAGTCTGTAGTCACTACAGTCTTTTGGAGATGCCTTTTTGGGAATTGTTATAAAAGTTGATTTTAGCCAGTCATTTGGAATTTTACCCGTATCGTATACGGGTAATAGATATTCGATTGAATAGATATGTGAGATGCTTTGAGTCAAATATTTTAAGTTAACTTCTGCATGCACGTTGTCATGACCGGGGCTTTTTCGATTTTTCATAGCTTTCATAGCATGCTGAACTTCAGATTCAAGAATTTCCGGGCCCGACCAGTCTTCACAATTGAGAGGTTGTCTGTCTTCTCTTTGGTCTTCAAATAATAATTGTGCATAGCTTTTCCATGTGCTGCACAGATCTACCGGATCTAAAATCAATTTCCCATTGTGTTTTAGGGCAGGTATTGGTGCTTTTTTTGTGTCATCATCATATCATCATTTTCAGCTTATTCAACCATTTCCAATTATTGTGTAACCTCCCTTACATATTTAGATACTCTCTTTGTAGTTGACCCATTGTTGTTGTTGACTATGCGGGCTCAAGTTATCCCTGCTAATTTTATAATATCATGGTCCCATCTCAGGTGTGGTCTTCTAGGTCTCTCTTCTTCTAGGCCTTTTAATTCCTCGTGTGTACACGTGTGTTAAGTTAGCACAACCACTTTAGGAAAAATGTATGAAACTATGTGGAATAATTGCCGTAAATTAGCCGTAAATTTGCCGTGAAAACAAAAAATTTCCGCTCTTCGTTAAGTATTGCCGCTCTTCGTTAAGTATGTTAAATCGATGGTTGTGCTAACTTAATATTAAGTTAGCACAACCACCATTGGAAATCAGTGAAAAAACATAGTTAGGAATTTTACAGCATAGCAGGAATTTACCATTTTTTTGCCGTTCTTAGATAGAATTAAAAAAAATATCCTCCGATCATTCTCTATCCCCGTGCAAACAGAAAATTTGCCGCTATTTTATTTGTTTATAAAATCTACAGGGTGATTCAGGCTTCCGAAAAAGCTCTATATTAGGTTTTTGGTTTCTGAATTTTATTTCAATTTTTAATATTTTTCATTTAATATAGGAGCAATAATATTGAACATTTTGAAAATATTTTTGTCAGCACACAGGGTGATTCAAAGATATTTTCAAACCAAAGTTGTATATTTTTAAATAGAATATTATATATTTTTTAGCTCAGTGTATCTGCCACAAAATTTCTTTTCCAAAAATACCATAATGTCATATATTATACCGAATGGTTTTTGAAATATAACCGTTTTTAAGCTAAATTTGCTGCTTATTTAAAGCCCTCTAAAAATCTAAATTCTAAGAATTTTAAGAATGAAATGTATTAAACATATTCATCTTTATTGATGATCAGATAGTTATAGAGTTAAAAAAAACATAGTATTCCATTTAAAAATATACAACTTTGGTTTGAAAATATGCTTGAATCGCCCTGTATGCTGACAAAAAAAATTCAAAATGTGCGTTACCATTGCCCCCATATTATTTAAAAAAATTGAAATAAAATTCGCAAACCAAAAACCTAATATAGTTTTTTAGAGCTTTTTCGCGTAAAGCGTAAAGCGTAAATAGCCCTGTAGATTATATAAACAAATAAAAGAGCGGCAAATTTTCCGTTTGCATGGTGTATTTACGGCTAATTTACGGCAATTGCTCAACCTAATTTCAGACATTTTACTCAACCTTTAAGTACTGGAATGGTTGTGCTGAATGTACTGAATATATGACCTTGATGCTATTATATTTTTTGATGCAGGGGGATAGAGAATGATCGGAGGATATATTTTTTTAATTCTATCTAAGAACGGCAAATTCCTGCTATACTGTAAAATTCCTAACTATGTTCTTTCACGGATTTCCAATGGTGGTTGTGCTAACTTAATATTAAGTTAGAGCACAACCATCGATTTAACATACTTAGCGAAGAGCGGCAAATTTATTTTTTGTTTTCACGGCAAATTTACGGCTAATTTACGGCCATTATTCCACATAGTTTCATACATTTTGTTTAAAGTGGTTGTGCTAACTTAACACACGTCGTGTGTACCATGCTGTAATTTTTGTGGTCCATCTGTTGTCCATCCTTCTTGCCAGGTATCCTCCCCATTGCCACTTGAGGGATTTGAGTCTATGGATGTGTTAGGATGGATGGATCCACTCTATTCTATTGTTATATTCTCTCTTGGTTATTCCCAGCATATTTCGTTCCATTGAGCGTTGTGCGATCTGCAGTTTCCTTATGATGTCTGTTTTAAGTGTCCAGGTTTCGCATACATAGGTCATCACTGGTAGTACACATTGGTCAAATGTTTTTTCTTCAAATAAAGTGGCATTATAGATTTGAATATGATTGAATTTGTTCCATAAATACTCCATGACAACTTAATTCTTCTGTTGCTTCCTAATAGTAGAGATCCCGAGCTGTGTATTAGTTGTCTCAAATATAGGTATATATTCTTCTACTATTTCCAGTGTTGTGTTATTTATTAGAATGTCTTTTCTATCCACTAGTTCGTTGTACATTACTTTAGTTTTTGCTAAGTTCATTTTGAGACCCAGTTTATTGCTGGCTGTAGTTAGGTTGTTAATTTGTGTTTGTAGTTCTTCAGGGCTATTCGCAGTTAGGATTATGTCATCGGCGAATATTAGATAGTTGAGATATTCTCCATCTGTTTTTAATCCTTTGTTGGTCCAGTTCAGTTGACTGAAAATTTCTTAACTCTAAACTCTCGCCAATATATACAAAAAAGCAGAGTTCTCAACTGGCAAAGGAGTAAGACGGAGACGCGATATCCCCAACGCTGTTTACAGCAACACTAGAAGAAAACTTAAGCTAATATCTCTCCATTAATTACTCACTTTGCAACAATATTTCGATGGACATATTTATATCTTAGTTGCTTACTACGAGCCCTAACAACTATATGTTGGGACAAGGTCATATTTTGGAATTATTGCCCTGGTTTTTCAAAATAACTGAAAAATATATGTTTAATTTTTTAAATATAAACATAGCCATATATCCTAAACAACTTGAAACAATATTTTTATGAATTTGTAAATCAATCCATATTTACAGTAGCGGATTTTGTTCATAAAAGGACAAATTTGCTGACAACTAAATGTTGGGACAAGTATTTTTAAATAATTAATATCATCATAGACGGCTTTGCTATAAACGTCACAAATGTCGCAAACTGTTTACTTCAGCATTGACAGCTTGTAAGTGACTCGATACTTTGAGTAGTGAGATTTACTGTAAGTAATTTTAATTTTCAATTTTGTTAATTATTTAATTCAAAGTAATGGTCCGTGGAAAAGCTACAAATCAAAAACTACGCGAAATT